TGAGCTCCTCCAACAATGCAGCATATATAATACAATACAAACATACAAATTACAAATGGTGCCAGAAGTCTGCATACATGTCAATAGAATATAATATGTACAGGAACAGAATATGAAATTAAATAATGTACATTAAGACAAAATGAAATACGGTTTATTGCAGTTATCCTGTGTGAGAGAGGGAGGGAACATTGGAATATGAAGAAGTGTTTCGTCTGAATAGAGTCTGAAGGGTCGTAAACAAACAGAGGTTCAAACATAACATCTTGGAGGTAACAACTTAACATTCGCCCCACTCGAGAACCTGGATCAAATGGGTAAAAACAACATCCGTTCAGGCGTGACTGAGTGATAATCCCTGCTGACTGTATGTCTGTGTCTTCCAGGGCAACATGTCAGTCACCGTGTGTCACGGAGGAGACCCCATCCCCAAAAGTCCCTTCAACATCAGCGTGGCCCCCCCGCTCGACATCAACAAGGTCAAGGTTCAGGGTTTGAACAACAGTGAGTACGGCAGACAGGAAGTGGAAAGCTTTTATCAAACAGGAAGTCAGTTTCAGAGCGACAGACATCCTGCTTTCAGGTCGACGTCACAACTTAAACATTTCAGTGTGAGATACGTGTGGGAACTTTTAGACAGTTAGCACTAAATGGTTTTTAATATATCACCCTTTATCTGGAAGGGACAGCAGGAATGTGACGGAAAGAAAATGCAACAAGTCATATTGTGCAAAGATTCTGAGTTGACATGAGAAACCCTAGAGACCCCACCACGTTAACATATAAGACCTGGAGTTTGTGTTAATGTTGTTTTGCCTTTAAGGTTGTTTGTATGCTTCCATTACATTTGGTGTAAATACTTGTCCTTTAGCATCCTTTTTTAATGCTCAATTGTTTTGTAAAAAAACATATTTTGTATTATCCTTACATATGTTGTTTTGTTTTGAATGACTTTGCATCTTATTTTCTTAGATTGTTTATGCTGGCACCACCAGAGACCAAAGCAGATTCCTTGTATGTGTAAACGGACATGGCTATAAACTGGATTCTGATTTGTGTGCGCCCTGAAAGAGGTGGACGTGGGGAAGGACGAGGAGTTCTCCATCAGCACTCGGGAGGCGGGAGGTCAGGGTAAACTGGAGGTGAAGATCACCTCTCCGTCACGCCGGCCAATCCCCTGCAAGCTGGAGTCGGGCTCGGCCAATGAGCTGCACTCTGTGAAGTATATCCCCCCCGAGGAGGGGCAATACCGCGTGGACATCGTCTACGACGGGAACCCCGTTCCTGGGAGTCCGTTCAGCGTGGAGGGCGTGATGCCGCCGGACCCTTCCAAGGTCAGAGACGTTCTCTTAGAGCTTTTCATATTTCCTCCAAAAAGAATTCATGCACTTCTGAACCAAACCAAAACACAACTTCCATTAAAGCTCAAGTTGTATCATATCGTCTCATTTAGCTGCAAGCCTTCTGTTACCATCTGTTTATTTTCAGTTTTATTTTGAATGATCACAGTCTGTCAGTTTCCTGTTTTACTTTGAAAGGTGTTCACCCCCTGTCTGTCATGTCTGTATTAGCTTCCTGTCTGATGATCTGATTCTGTTCACCTGAGGCCTGTGCTCTGAATCCAGCTCAACAGACCCTGATCTCTCTGAGTTACCTTAACTAACCCAAAACAAACGTGCTCTCGCTAAGCGGTCCTACGACGCTGGTTATCAACTCGGTAACTCAACCAGGGTGTCTCTGTCGGGCTGAGTGCTCGTTCACATGAAAGGGGCGGGGTTAGCAACATTTGACCAATCACAAACATGGAGAAGCGTACTGACAGCACAGCGTCATACTTCCTGAATGAAAAGTCAACTATAATATTAGACATATGAAGAAGTTAAACTTTAAACATCCATGACTTAAACACTTGATCCAGGATCAAAGCCACATAGCTGCACCTGCAAGGTGAATACAGCTGGTAACAGAACAAGTGTTTGAATGCGTACATTAACAGGTTTATGATATCACTGCCCCGTCTAAGACACCATCTGACTTTCATTACATTTGACTCGAGTGTTTCCTCAACTTAATGTGTTGCTTCAAATAATCCTTCTGCATACAGTATGTGACACTGTGAGTGTTGCACGGCCAGATACGGCTCAGCTGACTCAGATAAGGAGATATATGATACATTATGATGTGATATGCCGCGGACTGTACTTAATGTTACTCTGATCCGGTTACTTATGTTGTGGCAGATATTTAAGTAAGCTTTCTTAACTCTAATGTTCTAATAGTCAGATTGCTCTGAAGATGGGAGGTGATATT